AGATTTGGCTAATTCTAGTGCAGTATTTTCCATGTGTACTGTTTTTGGAACTAATTCTTTAAGATCTTTGTTAGAGAAAAATGTTAAGAGGAAATCAATTCTATCTAAAGATTTATAAAATACTTTTAAAAAATCAAATAAAATATTGCCTTTTGTTTGCTGGCCAAGTATAGTCACTGAAGATACGATTTAGATAGTTACAAATGTTTCCAGAGTATTCTTTTTCATTATTGTGTTAATTTTTTTAAACAACTTCAGCAATTTTAGGACTGATGTATTAGTTTGTGATATGTTTAATTCTTTTTCATTTGATTGGGACATATTTATTACAGATTTGTGTTTGGTTGCCCATACAGAAACTGCTAAGTTGAATCTTTACCAGGATAGGTGCCAATATCTGTCAACCCCCATATTAAAACCAGTTTTAAAAAAGAACTGCTTACTCATCCAAATTTTTCAAGAACTCTATTTCTAATATCAGTTTGGAATTTTATTCCCCATTCAAAAATTGTTGGCATGTACCTGAAAAAAATAATATGTACCCTGATGGAATTCACATTAAATTCTATGAAATAAAAACATCTTTATTCTTCATGTTATTTATATTATCTGCGTTTCGCCCTTTTCTTGTTTTGAGATAAAATATATGTTCCTTCAATTTATCTCACTTATCTTTCATGACATTATTTTAGTTTCTCATCAAAGCAGATTAATAGATTAAAAGATAATTATCATCACATTTAAGTTCAACTATCAGGTTAGTAGTTCACAGTTCAATTTAATTGTTCCTGGTAAATATAATTTGCACTATTCATTTCAATGTAACAGTTCTCAAAATGAGCAACCTTTAAGGGGTTAGAGTAATACATTATTTCTTTATTTTTGTGCACTTGAATCAGTGTTGACTCTTGGAGATTGCTTAGACAAGTCTCTGCAGTATTTTTGGCAAGATTTCAGAAATGGTTTGCCTGTTTCCTAAGGCTGGAAGAGAATGACTGACCCAAAGTCACCAATCTGGTTTTATGCCTAAAGCGATCTCTGAGGTTTTATGCCTCACGATCTCCCAGTTTCTAGCCTGATGGCTTAACTACTGCGCCTAACTAGCTCTCCGACTATTGTAATACTAAAACTTTACTTATTTATTTTGTTTATCCTTGCAAATATTCAGCATGTTTAAAAAGATGGAAAAATGGAAATACTTGTAGATTTTTACATGCTACCGTAGATTTTTGTAGATTTTTACATGCTACCGTAGTAAGCCTGGGTCAAAGGAAGAATAAGCTAAACAAATATTTCACTTTTTTCTATCCTCAAGGACCCAAAAAAGAGAAAGAATGCACATGGAATGGCCTATGGTAAAGAAGGTAAACGTGTAAGTTAAGATGGGGTGAATGACAACATTATTTCCCCTTATTCTTGTTTCATCTGCCAAAAGCATCAGAGTCTGAAGAATAACTTGATACAGAGAAGATTTCTCTCCATTATCTTTTTGTTTTAATAAACTCTAATATTGTGTGAAACAGGAAGCGGGGGGATTCATTTTCATCAGTATTATTCCTGCACATGGTAGCTGGGCTATTTAGCAAACAGTACAGCCCGGTTCACAAAACATGGCTTATTTTGGGGTTGTAAGGAGAGATGAACCCATCTATCCCTATTCTACATCCTGTCTGAATCAAATTGTTATTAATTCAATAAACCATTGTTATAAATAATCATGATTTATAATTGGTCCATCAGCTCCCATCTATGGTCCTGATCAATCTTGCCCTTCCATATATGTTAGGCAAAAGTGTTCTAATTTATTTCAGATAGTTACATCAACATATCTGGGTTTGGTTTTGGGTTTTTTGGCAAAAGTACAATGATCAAGCCAGAATGTTTTAAACTCCCCATTTAGTTTTACTGCTCTAAGATTTCAACAGAAGGTACCGTGTTTCTCCAACACTACGGCCTCCACCAATAGGAAGGCCCAGCATGTTTTATCGGCATAAAATCAAATTAAGCCCCTCCCCCCAAATTAAGGCCTATATTAAACATGTGAAATGGGGGGAATGGTGGTGGGGGGGCTTGCCGTTAGGAAGTACTTTTGTTGCATACCCGGATATGGTGCTGCCTGCATTGACTTTGGTGTTGGTGGGGCACTTTGTATCAGGACACCTTCCTCCACCGTTGCTTTCCCTTCTACCTTGCTGCCGCGGCGTTTAGAGCAACACTGCGGCGTTTGGCGCAGCCAGCCAGGGCTCCTCCCTGCAACCGGAGCCTGGCAGAGATACTCGGCTTCAGGCGTTCCTGTCACCGCCTTCCCTTTGCCTTCAAAGGCAAAGCCAATTCTTTTAAAAATGACACCCTACTACTGGTACGACAAAGCCTCCCCTGCCCGAGAGGGCAGCCCAACCCCACGTGGGGAGGCGAATCTCCCGGGGCCACAGCACAGGATCGGCCCACCCCAGGAGAAGCACCCAGCTCCCATCCCTGCCTGGCGCCGGGCAGAGTGCAAAGAGCTTCGCCTGGGGCGCCCAGGGCAGCTGACAGGCAAGCCCACCTGCCCGGCGGTGGAGCTCTCGCCAAGGCAGTGAGCGCCTCCCCGCTGGACCCTCTGCTCATCCCGTCAGGGCCACGCCAGAGCCGTGTGGGCTGGGCAGAGCCGGGAAAGCAAGCCACGGGTGTGCGCCTGCCTGCCAAGAGAAAGAGCCGGGCCGACCCAAGCTTGGCTTCCTTCCCAAGTCCCTCCAGCCCGAACCCGAAGGGGCCACTGGGAGAGGCCGCCTGAGGCAGTGATAGCGCCCACCCATCCATGGACAGGGAGGCAAGGCGACGGCCTGTGCCGTGTCCTCCTCTGAGCTGAGCCCCACCAAGTAAGTGCCTCTGCCTGATGCCTGTTCCGCTGCAGCGTTTGGAGCTGCTGGCACATTTGGAGATGCATCGGGACAGGGACAGGCTGGGCGAGGGGTGGAAAGGACGGGCGGCTTCGGGCTCTCTCCGCTGGCCAGGGAAGCAGCGCTGCCATCACCTCGCCTCCCTGTCCGCGGACGGGTGGGCGCTATCACTGCCTTGGGCAGCCTCTCCTGGTGGCCCCTTAGGGTTTGCACTGGAGGGACTTGGGAAGGAAGCCAAGCTCAGGTCGGCCGGCTCTTTTGCTTGGCAGGCGGGCACGCACCTGCAGCTCGCTTTCCTGGCTCTGCCCAGCCCGCACAGCTCTGGCGCGGCCCTGGCGGGATGAGCAGAGGGTCCGGTGGGGAGGCACTCGCTGCCTTGATGAGAGCTCTGCTGCTGGGAAGGAGGGCCTGCCTGTCAGCTGTGCTAGGCGCCCCAGGCGAAGCTCTTCGCGCTCTGCCCAGTGCCAGGCAGGGATGGCAGCTGGGTGCTTCTCCCGAGGTGGGCCAATCCTGTGCTGCGACCCCGGGAGATTCGCCTCCCCACGTGGGGTTGGGCTGCCCTCTCGGGCAGGGGAGGCTTTGTTGTAGTAGGGCGTCATTTTTAAAATAATTGGCTTTACCTTCGAAGGCAAAGGGAAGGCGGCGACAGGAGCGCCTGAAGCCGAGTGTCTCCGCTGGGCTCCGGTTGCAGGGAGGACCCCGAGCTGGCCGCACGTGGCTGCGCCAAATGCCACAGCATTGCTCTAAACGCCACGGCAGCAAGGGAGAAGGGAAAACAAGGGTGGCGGAAGGTCTCCCGATACGAAGTGCCCCACCTATGCCGAGGTCAACATCCAAGCTGTCGCTGCCTGCCCACCCGAGGATGCAAGGGGGGGAAATTAAGTCACCCCTGAAAAAACGGCCTCACCGTTTTTTCGGGGGGTCAAAAAAAAAATAAGGCCCGCCCTTTTTTTTTGAGAAACACGGTAATAGCTGTAGCTCAGGGTTGAATTGTAAGGTCCTTGGGAGCTTTGTTGTTTGCTTGTTGACATTTCATTGTATTGTGGCACGGTGATATTATCTACAGGTGGTCCTCGAGTTATGACCATAATTGAGCCCAAAATTTATGTTGACAAGTGAAACACTTGTGAGTTTGCCCCACTTTATGACTTTTCTTGCCACAATTGTTAAGTGAACCATTGCATTCGCTAATAACACAGTTGTTTAAGTGAATCTGGAGTCCCCACCGACTTTGCTTGTCAGAAGGTGCAAAAGCTGATCACATGACCCTGGGTCACTGCAACCATCATACATATGAATTTGCCAAGCACCTGAATCACGTGACCCTGGAGATGCTGCAAGGTTGTGAATGTGGAAAAAGAGTCGTAAGTGCCTTTTTTCAGTGCCGTTGTAACTTTGAACGGTCACTACATGAACTGTTGTAAGTCGAGGACTACCTGGACAATGAAGCCTCTGCAAGAAACCAAGCAAGCTCACGAGAACAGCGAGGACCCCTCACAGCCTTAAGATTTCCTGTGGGGGTCTCTCATCCAAGCAGTAGGCTCTGCCATTCGCTGGGAGGCCACAGCCTTTCCCAACTGGGAAAGAAGAGAGGGATGACTCTCTCTTCATGATGGGAATGGAGAGTGGGGGGAAGGAAAACGGCCATTTTCTTCCTAGGCTGCTTTTCTTCCTCGCCAAGTTTACCTCAGGATGAGGTTGGGCTGGGAAAAGCCCTTCTGCCCCCACGCCTCGAACCGCTTCCTCTTCTTTGCGCTTCCAGCCGTCGCAAAAGCACGCGGAAGCGCAAGCGGCTCGGGCGACGCCCCCCTCCCACTCTCTGCAAACAGGATGGCGCAAATGGAGCGCAGAGAAGCCGGGCAAGGGCAGGGCGGGCGCCTCAGTCCGAAGGTGGCAGAGCGCGGCGGAGGCGACAGACAGAGAGAGAGAGAGAGAGAGAGAGAGAGGAGAGCGCGCACCAGAGCCGCTTCTCCGCCTCTGCGTCGAGCAGCCCCAGACAAGCAGCAGCAGAAGCGGAGGAGACCCGCAGAGCTGCGAACGCGCCCGGCCGCCGCGAGCACGGCGGAAGCCTCGGCGTCCCCGCCCCCCCCCCCCCCCCCCCCGCCCCCCCCCCCCCCCCCCACGGCGCGCGTCCCCTAGACACGCTACCCAGGCAGATCCGCGCTGGAACGCGACGGCCGCCCGGAGAGCTCGAGCCGTAGCCTTCCTGCTGCCGTTGACGCCTCGGCCCCTCCGCTCCTCCACCTGCCTTCCGACGACGACGCGCCCCCAGATCGCTCCGGCGCGCCCGTATCCCGCCAGCCTCCTTCGCCGCCAGCCTCTCTTCGGCGGCCGCGGCGGCTAAAAGGAGACGCCATGGGGAAGGAGACGCCGGGCAAGAAGGAAGGATGCGATTGCAAGCGGTTCCTGAAGAACAACTGGCTGCTTCTCAGCACCATCCTAGCCGTGGTCCTGGGTGAGTGGCGGGAGGGAAGGGCGGGCGGCGGAGGCGCTCCTCTCCTCTCGACCCCCCTGCCCATGTTTGTGGGAGAAGACAGTGGAGACCCGCAAGAAATGTACTTCAGTGGGCAAATCTCGCAAAAACTGGGAAGGTTCCTTGAAAGGATACGCGGGGCTTGCCGTTTCCCTCTGGCACTCCTCCCGAAGAAGGGCTATGCTCTTGGGAGCAGAGGAAGATAAATTAGCCGGCTGGGAGGAGGGTTAGACCGGCTGAGGAATAAGGTGCCCGTGTGACATCGCAGTCCTGTGCACTTACGTACGTTTAAGGAAAGTTCATTGTCATTGTGGACAAAACTCTAGGGATCCTTCATTTAATATCCAGAATTGCTGGTAGGGTGTAATCCTGCCAGTTGGTATCAAAGAGCTGGTTCAGTACCGCCCTCTGTAAAAGTTGTTAAAATTCACTTGAAATGGCAAAATCTTTCCATTCTGCTCAGATAATTCTAAAGCTACATCTATTTAGAAATAGGTCCCATGGAGTTCAACAGCTTCATGTCTACCTTGGTGTCAGGTGTGATTCAGTTTATAAACTTCCTTCTTTTCACAGGACTGGTCCCATTGGTGTTAATGAGTTGAGTATATTTATCCAAATGGACATTCCTTTCTATTGCAATTTCCGCCAGTCTTTCAACTGTAGGTCATGATAATGACAAAATTCTGAAGCTTTCAGATCCCTTCAGTGAGTGTTTTACTGCAAATGCCTTGTCTAATCTAAAGTGAAACTGGAGAAAATTTTGTTTCTTGGCTAAGTAGATGTAGGGGTTGTCAACAGTGAGAGATTAACTGTTTATTTAGAAACAGGTTGTTCTGTGTTTACTGGCACTTATACCCAAGTAGGACTTAAAAAACCCAAGAGGCAACGTTGAGGTGAAGTTGGCTGTCTCAGATAGCCAGGTTGGATCTACCAGTTCCTATTTGAAAGGAGGGCAGTAAGCTTTTGGAAAAAAACCGAAGTTAGGCAGTAATGAACCACTTCCATATTATTGTCAAGAAAACAAATAAATGTCCTTTTTTAGTTACTGGGAACTTGACTTGAGAATATCTTTAGTTTTACCAAACCAATGTTGAAAAGAAAAGTAAAGCGGCATGGTCTCTCTAACCATCACTAAGATAATTGTCTCAAGGTGTAATAGAATGAGACAGTATTTGGTGTGGTGCAGTATTTTTTAATCTGGGCAACTTTCAGATGTATATTGTAGACTTCAGATCTTCAAGATTCCCCTGTCAGCATGCCAAGTTGAGTATGGAAGATGAAGTCAACAAAAGCAAGCAAGTTTGACACAGGGCCTCTTTAGGCTGGGGGTTTGAAGGAAGAACATTCCTCAATGTATCCTTATGGGAGATGCAGTAAAGCAGCAAGGTGGAATATTTTTCACCCTATTTTTCATTCTAAGGCTCCCTCCTCCCCTGCAGTCATGTGACCCAGAGCACAGAATTTGCAATCTTAGTTGTGAGCATACTCACAACCATCCTCTAATGCAGTGATGGTGAACCTTTTCAGCACTGAGTACCTAAAGCATGTGCCCCCCCCTCATGTATCCCACCCCCGCGCATGCGTAGCAGAAACCCAAAGACCAGCTGGCTGGCAGGAGGTGCACGCACATGTGTGGTGGAACTGAGCTGGGGCAACAGCTCGTGTGCCCACAGAGAGGGCTCTGCGTGCCATAGGTTTGCCATCTAATGCAACACAACAGGAGGAATACAGAAACTCAGAGGCAGCACATGTACTCCACTGGAATTAGACCCTCACACACATGCAGAGAGATTCAATATACAGTATTGAATACACTAATACACTGTGTTGTATTAGTTTATTACATGGAAATGTATGGCTGGTAGTGGTAAAGAAGTTGAAAAGCTTTCAAGAAAACATGGTTGGTATGCTTTTCCTACCTTGTTTAAGAATGTATGTGACCGCAACTTTCATCTACTTTCCACTCCTGAAAATGATGTTATCACTTTCTATGTTATCCAAGCCATATATAGCAGAAACTGGTTTTCCAGTGTGACTGAATACTAGAGATAGATGCTTGTTTTTTAATATACCCTATAATTCATTTCAGTTTAAATTTCCCCCAAAATATAAAACACCCTTCACTATTGTTCCCTGCCAAGATTTATTAAATAATTATTGTATCTCCCTTATCACTGAACTCATTTCTTGGCATTAGTATAACCATTAAACGTGTAAATCAAATATTGATCTATAGTTAAATGCTGGAACATCTTAATGGTTCGAAACAAATATATGCTAGAGAAAATATGCTTCCATTTCCATTTTTTCTTCTCAGTGTTTCTTTTTTGTTCAGTTATTATTTCTCTCTCTATTCCGTGTGTGTGTGTATATGTGTATCTGTGTCTGTCTGTCTGTCTGTCTGTCTGTCTGTCTGTATCCATTAAACCTGTTCAGATTTAAAAGCAGAATACTGCTTTGGGATTGTGGCATTAATTGCATACGTACCCATCATATTATGTATTACATTTCAAGATATGTAATATTATGAAAAGTGCAGAAAAAGTAAGAAATAATAAACCAAAATGATGATGTCATGAAGTGGAGAAAGAAATAGAAACATACCTAATCTGTCTTATGCCAACACCATTCAGTATACTGCTCCATACTTTTTGACCCTTACAAACCAACTTTGTTTTATATTACTACTTTATACATTGCCTTTTGTTCTTAGTTTAAATGTCTTCTCTCTTTCAGAGTATCTCATTAACCCCATCCAATCATAACTTTTTGGTCATCTTTTTTTTTTTACATGTTGGCCCTCATTCCCTCTGTAGGACCAAACCCCCTGAATGTATATTTTTCATACTGGTCACTAATGTGTAAATTCAATCTCCATTCATTTATTACTCATTCTGCTTCTGTTACTACACACACTTCTTACCTAACCCTTCTCATTGTATTCAATTTTTTTCACATTTTTCCTGAGATACTCAATTCTCAGTACTATATAGCAAAGTGGGTAGAAGGACAATTTTATTCACACCACTTTTTACTTCTATTATGAAACATTTATTCCTCACAACAAACCGGTATTTGTGTAGCTTAAAATTTCTCTCTTTTCCCAATTGTACTAAATGTTTTACACAAACTAAAAAAATTGCTCTGGTTTTTCACCAGGTATTTATAATTTCATTTTCTCTGGCTTGTATGTAGCTACTTTTCTCTTTAATATTAATTTCAAATCCATATTGCTCACTACATATTATTTGTTTAATATTCCCTGTAAATTATTAGTTACTCAGCCAAGGGTCTGTATTTCCTTATTATGAAAGTTATTTTCATTCATGTTTTATTTCCATCATACGTTGCTCTCATTTTCAGCCTTCAACATTCAACTTCAGAGTCATGAATGACTTCAGAGTCATGAATAACATTCCTTAATACAAGCTCATTCACTTTATCAAATGCTTTATCAATTTTTTTACTAAGATGTTAAACACCAAAAATCTGGCCTTCAGTCATAATCTGGCACAAAGCCAAACCACACTTCCCTAATTATAAACAGGTAGTCCTCAACTTATGACCACAATTGAGCCCAAAATTTCTGTTGCTAAGTGAAACATTTGTTAAGTGAGTTTGCCTCATTTTACAATGTTTCTTGCCACAGTTGTTAAGTGAATCATTACAGTTGTTAAATTAGTCAAACTAATGTTAAGTGAATCTGGCTTCCCCATTGACTTTGCTTGTCAGAAGGCCGCAAAAGGGGATCACATGATCCAGGGATACTGCAACAGTCATAAATATGAGTCAGTTACCAAGCATCAAATTTTGATCACATGACCATGGGGATGCTACAACGGTCGTAAGTGTGAAAACTGGTCATAAGTTGTAATTTTGAACAGTCACTAAATGAACTGTTGTAAGTCAAGGACTGTAGTCTGAATTCTGCCACCAAACATTATTCCCTCTTGATTTTTGCTTTCTTTCCTTCTTGATACCTTTCCCTTTTTGTAGTGGGGCAATTATTGTGAACTATCAGTTATTGGGCACAGATTCAGACTTTACATGTATTTTAAATGTCACACAGTCTTTTGCTAAGTAATATCCATTTTTGTCACATATATAGGCTATATCTGCAGCCTTACCATTTTTTAAAAACATTCTCATGGCGTTTATAGCTTCTGTTTCATCAGTTTTGTTCTTGGATGTATTGTTCTCATTCCCTTACCTAGAATACTAGTATTCTTTCATTTCATTATCCTGTAATCATTTCATCACATTTAGTGTTAATTCCTTCATTCTATTGGAGGTTTCTTGTTTTAGTTATTCACTCACTTCTAAAACTTTTGTTTCACTCTTCATTTTAATGCACTTTTTCCTTGTTCTTTTTGAATTAATTGCTTGCAACGATTTTACACACAAACATGCATGCTCACGCACCCACACACCCACAGTACTTGATCTGTTTTTCACCCTCCTTTTTGGCAGAATTATTCCCTTATGTGTATTTTTTTCATCCACAGCCAATATCACCAAAATAACCAAGGACTGTAAAGCACTGTGAAGTGGTATACAAATCTAAGTGCTGTTGCTATATAGTGAAGCCTTGTTATAATGAACCAATTGCAGGGATGATTTTCTGTTATTAACAAATTCTAGTAAATCAGCAAGAATGATATCACAGCAACAACTGGGTGATCATATCATTATGAAAGATCATACCAATTACAAAATTGTGACAATTTACATCATTGGGGAAATGACACAAATTGCAACAGATATGCGGTTTAATATGTGCAAAGTCTATTACATCAAGGTCCCATGTATCATAGTTTCATTATATTTCCTGTTAGTTCTCTCTCTCAAACGGAAATGTATTAGTTCAGTGAGCTGCAATACATGGGGATTTTACCTGAGTAGATGTGTAATGCCTTTTATTACAATCAGCAATACATCCTGGTTTTCTTCTCAAGAGCAAAATACATTGGTCTGGCAAAAAT